CCTGGATTTAACTTGCTGATGCGGCGTAGATACGTGTTGCGCACGCGCTCTCGGAGCAGGGGGAAGAATTGACTCCTTGTCCGTTGTATTTCTGCCTCACGGTCGGGCGACGGTGACTGTAGATAGCGGGCCTTGCTGTCGGTAGCAATCCGCTCTGCCTCCATGAGAGTGTCGTCCCAAAGCCTGGGACCGTCCTTGTGCATGCCGCGGGGGCAATGTCGTCGATACGAAGTTATAAGCGCTCTCGTGAAAGCCTTAATGCCGGTGGACTGCTTTTATAGTCGTATGCCGGAAGTTGTGCGTCGAAGTCCTTGATGAATAAATCCCACTTGCACTTCCCCCAACTGTAGAAAAACTTAGGTGCCGAAGGGGGTGCCGAAGGTATGGTATCCTTAAATGCCTGATGCAGCGTAAATGTCAGCATATAATGATCGCTAAGCGGCGACACGGAAGCTGACCAATCCGACACAGTCAAATGCTTTGACCACGTCAGATCGATACAGGATCGTTCTCTTGTGCCACGGGCATACGTGATCTCACCAGGGGTGTTAACCAAGGTGAGTCCCGCATCCGTGCACAGTTCTAAAAACTCTGCAGCAACCTCGCTTGGAGAAGTCTCCAAGAATGGCTCCCACTGTGGGTGATGCATGTTGAAATCACCGCACAGCAGGAGCGGCGACGAGGCTGGAAGGCAGTTTACTAACCGCCTGAAGGATTGCGTTACTTGCGGTGGTGGTCTCATATAGGCACTCGCCACAATGAGATCACGGTTCTGGTCCAGAGCAACCTGGACCACCACCACTTCAAGGCTGGTGTCATGCTGGGGGATGGTGAGGGGTATACGCTTGGAGCGGAGAGTTTTCCGCACCAGCACCGCCACACCGCCTCCCTTGCCGATGCGCGACTGTGCATAGAGCACATAATCTCCAGTGTGCATGCTGGCGATCTGCTCCGACGACTTCCAAGTCTCCTGAATGGCTATTATGTCTGCTCCTTGCGCCATTAATGTTGCGAGTTTTGACGGTGTGAGGCAAGAAACGTTCATCTGGAGTACTGCTATGGGGCCTGGGTTCTGCTCAATGTCTCCGCTTAGCAGTAGCTTTTGTCGTTGCGCGTCACATACGGCACGCAAACGGTATGTATAGCGCTGATAAGCGCCGATGGAATTCAGCAGCGAATAGAAATACCGCTCCGCGTGCAGCCATGTAAATGGCTCCATCTGGTGCCCTTCCGACCCGTTTGAGCGGCGCCTCCTGCATCTCCGCATGCAGCGGATGGGCAGCAGGCGCTTAGCTTCCTCTCTAGCAATGAGTACTAGACCCTGGCACCACGTTGAGGTGGCCGGCTGAGCCAGGGCTCGGCAGTCGTTGTGATGTTTTTCATTCTCTCGGCTTTGGCTGGTGTCTTTCGTATTACTGTGCTTCTCTTCACCTTCTTCTCCTTCTTCTTTCCCTGCATAATCGGATTCCGGTGCATTCCTCGGCATCGCCACTTCACCGCCTTTTTGAGCCTCGTTATTTGAAGTATCGGTGGAAGCTGAGGTTGATTCCGGCCCTTCCGTTGGATTTGCTGGTGAATCACCCGCTGGGGCTCCGGTGTTGATCCCATTTCTGCTGCACCGCCCTTCGGTGTTTCTGGAGTTGCTGCTGCCACCTGTTTTTCCGCATCAGGCAACGCTTCGGGTAGCTGTGTTGAGGAATCGACGGCCTTATTTGGATCGCCAGCGTACTTCTTGCAAATCTCCTCAGCTTTAGGGCCCCGACATTTACTCGGCGTCTCATCGCCATTGCCACAAATCTCCTTCATCGATTCATGCATACACATCTTAAACCCCAACACATCCAACATTCCTTCCTTCGTATTTTTTTCCTCGCAATCCACCTCAGCCTCAGGATACCAAGTTAAGACCATATCCTCCTCCACAACACCTCTGTCACTGACAAGGCCATAAGCCGCTGGCACCACAACACAACACCACAGCACGCAGAGGGCACACACCAGCAGCACACGGCCAGTCATCATCGCCAGCACTCCTGTCACTTGCATGTAGCCTTCAGCACAAAATAACACCACGTCAAAAGAGAGGGAAGCAAAAAGATAGACACGGCCGCTACACCACGCACAGCAACAAATGGCAGCACCCCAGCAGCAGCAGCAGCGCACACACCACGAGACAGATGGAGTCAGTAAGATTGCAGAGCTCGCACACCGCACCGCAAACCACAAGTTTAAAAAGCAATAAAAAACAATAATTAAAAAACAATAATTAAAGAGAAAAGAAAAACAAACCCAGGGCTCCAGTGCGCATGCTTATGAGTGTGTCCGCGATGCGTTCAACGTGGCGGATGCGGGGCACAACGCGGAGCACACAGCACGGCAGCAGAAGCAAGTGAAGCAAAACAAGATCATTATTTTCTCTTATTTTATACAGTGAACCACAACACACGCGCACAAATCCCCGCGGTTGAGTGCTGGCACGCAAAACCCGCACACACCTCTTCAGCCCACAGTGGTGTACGCCAGCGCGGATGCGGCAAGCACCAGCGGGGCACACACCCACGCAGAGCTGCTGAGGCTGCCGTCGATTTCGCGAAGACGTGACGGTGCGCTGGTGGTCGACACAGCTGGTGCCTCTGTAGTCGTAGTACTTGGTGCCTCTGTTGTAGTGGTGGTCGTCGTGGTTGTGGTTGGTGATTTTGTTGTGGCCGTCGTGGTCGTCGCGGCAGCAACTTTGGTTTCTCGATCTGTTTGGTCTGCGGATGTACTCGTGCGGCTTTTTGGCCCTGTCGTACTCCCATCTTCTGCGTGTACAGTATCGATAACATCGCCTGACTGCCGTTTCGGAGCTGTCAAACTTTTTCCACCACCTACGTCAGCCTCTCCCTGTTCCACAGTGGACCCCTTACTTTGCGACTTTGGCGCTGTTGTACCATTTTCATCTTCTGTCGTACCTTTCTTTTCTCCTTCCTGTACCGGCATTTCCGCCTCATTTGATTGCGTTACGGCACCGGAAGAACCTGGGGTCACTGGCACTTTTGTTCCCCTGTCCTCACTGGACCCCGTACCTGAACCCCGTTCCTCATCGGAATCGTCCTCCACTTGCGACTCAGAGGACAAGGTACTCGAGCTGGTGGATTCTTTTACATCTTCAACCTGAGTAGCAGCAATGGTTTCATCCGTAGAATGTGCCACGCACGCGGACGGGCAGCAGCCCAGGGCAAGCAACAACAGGGCGCACAGCAGACGGCACGTCATCATCATCGTGAGTGTGGTCGTTCAGTGGTGTGGAGCTGATCTGCACAGTGAGGGACATGGAGAGCAACAGGGGAGACGAGAGGTGCGGCAGACACACACGGAGGGCACACCACATGAGGAGAGGGCAGCAGCCAGGCATGCACCGTACGCCGCACACCACGCACGACACACACTCCAATCCACGGCAGCAGGCACACACACACAGCCCTGCCGCAACAACAACACACAGATGGAAGAGGGAGAAGCAAACAGGAGCGGCACACAAGGATCCATCGCATGCACATGCGGCGAGAGCGGTCCGTCGTGTCGGCACCCCTCACGGAGGGTGCGCACACACACAAGAAGGTGCAGCGCACACAGCAACACAAAAGCAAAGTAACAATACAAAAAGAAGATCCCCGCACACCACGCGGATTGTTGGTCCACGGGAAGTGCAGCCAATATTCATCACAAAGCAGCTTGTTATCCTGTTTTGGTTGTATGCTGCTACAATAACGAGTGAGTAGCGCAAGGGCCGTCCGTACAAAAGTGGCAAGTATTCCGTCGTGCGGGCTGGGGCAGTCACACACAGTCACAGTCCCAGTTCCCAACGACGAGGGCATTCCCGCAGTGGATGGGGCGGAGTCTCCCGCGGTCCGTCGGGGATCAGCAGCCCGTGGCGTCCGTGATGAGGCGGTGGCGGAAGAGCCTGGTCCATCTCGAGTACCCGCGTTTGTGCTTCCTGAGTGTCTCGCCTGCTGGCATGCTTGGCAACTTCGGTGGCGACCTGCGCGCGAGGCACCTGTTAAGAAGACGGTGGCGCCATTGTGGCATCCGCATGGGAGGCCCTCGCAAACTAATTGTAACGCCAGGCTGAGCACGTCCGGCATGTGCCCTCATACTGTGGACGAAGAAGCGCACTCAGCCGCAGGTTGGGCAGGAGGACGTCAATCCGCCGCTCGCTGGTCGACAAGGAGTCGCGGCGCTCACGTCGGGAAGAGGTTCCGGCGGAGGCAGAGGCGGGCCGGTCACCGCAGTGAGGGAGGGACGGCACCACCGACACAGAGGGTTCCTTGTGATCCGCAGGGCGCGTGCAGGCCTGTCGAAGAGTGGGCAGGAGTCGCATCGCGCCTGTGCGCGGTGCCGCCACTCGGGTACCGATGTCCGGGTCAACACCAGGAATAGAGTCCTCGCCACACCGACAGGCGCCTGTCACGCGGTGTGCGCGCCTTCCTTTTCCTCCTGGGCATCCTTCCGTTATAACCTCTTGACGGCGGTAAGGAAGTCCACGTGCCAGGCATTGACGCAGTCCTGCGAGAGGGATCGTGCAATCGTGGCTTGTTTGTCAGCGGCCTCACTGCGTGGAATACCGCAGTGTGATGGGGAAAATGTGAAGCCAGCTGTGTGACCTCGATCCGCCAGTGAATGCGGCACAGTACAAATCTCCTTGCTGACGTCGTCGTGCACCGCCAGCGAGCCAAGGCGGAGTGACTCCATCGCCGAGAGGGAGTCTGTGGCAAAAGGAACTCGCGTGGGCGATTTGGATGCTGCTGCCAGGCGGGGAACTGGGAAGTGTCCGAGGCCATGCTCAGTGACAGGACACTCCGCTCGGCAGTGCGGGCAAGGCTGCAAGCAGCTGCGCGGTGAGGCCCCACAGGGAGCTCGGCTGTCCGGGGATTAAAGTGGCAGCGCAGCGGATCCAGACGCACGCGCAGCAAGAGGCGACGAGCCGTCCACCGCCAACACAGTTTCCATCGAATAACAACACGTTGGCCATGAATAGGACACGTATGCCCGCACTGCCGTGGGCACGGGCAGCGGCCCCGATTCACTCAGCAACAGTGATCTAAAGCCCTTGGATGGTACAACAGCCACGCCTGAGCCCATCACAGCCCTAGCAAATGTTGAACGAGTGGTAACGTGTCGGGTGGCGCTGACACCTCACAGGATTATTTGCGCACAACGTCTGGAAAATCAGAGATCCCATCGGAGTACGACGCAGCATCGCTTGTGAGCAACGGTTTTTGTGAGCAGGGGCATCTCACGGATTTGTTGGCTATGGCCGAAATTGGTGACATCGCCGTGCATGGGTGTGCGTCTCGGGTGACGTTGCTTTTGATTCTGGGGCTGTGGGGCACTGCGGCGTTTTGCTGAATTGTGAGGGAGGGTGGAATTGCGGCTTTTTGTGGAACAATAACTGTGCAGCTTGCCAGCATCACTAAATGAGTTGTGTCAATAATTTAAGTTTTTTTATTTTCTTTATTTATTTGTTTTTGCTGCTTTTGCCCTATTGGAATAATCAGCATCCCTGTGTTTTTCCCCAATGCCTGTTTGCTGCACTTCGTCATGAGTGACGTGCTTCTCCTCTTGTTTCCTTCCGTTGCCCACACGCGGTGCCGGCCTCATTGCTGTGCGTCCCACGGACTGCACGAAAGGAGGATTGGAAGAAAAGACTGGGTGACGCACGAAATGTGAGGAGAGTTGTGTGGACTCACGGAAAAGCACGATATTTTTTGATTTTTTACTGCGGACATTACGTATACAAAAACTAGTGGTCGTTTACGTTGCGCTGCTTGGCACATACAATAAAGGACGTCCCTGATCGATTTTTTATTTTTTACTTTTTGGGAATTTTACCGGACTCTCAACTCTGCTGTTGTGCCTTTTTTACTGCTTTTTTAACTTTTGGTTTGGGGAGCGGTGTGCGAGCTCTGCAATCGTACTGATTCCAACTGCCTCATGGTGCGTGCATTGCCATTTGTTGCTGTGCGTGGTGTAGCGGCTGTGTCTATCTTTTTGCTTCTGCTCTGCGTTGACGTGGTGTTACTTTTGCTGAAGGCTGCACGCAAGTGACAGGAGTGATGACGATGATGACGACTGGCCGTGTGCTGCTGGTGTGTGCCCTCTGCGTGCTGTGGTGCGGTGCCGGCGGTAGATGTGACGAGGAGGTGGTGGAGATTCCTGCCGGTGGTGGTAAAGTTGCTGTGGGGTCGACTTGAACTTCAACGCCGGGATCAGATAGCTCAGATCCAACAAAAGGTTTGCCCAAGGTTAATCAATAAACAGAAAAGTCTGAAGGAAAATCTTTGGAAGGAAAAGAAGTTAAAAATGATCAACTGTTTGTTGCTCCTGGAGTGGAGGGTGAAGATAGAAGCTCTTCAGAGCAATTAGAAGAACGTTTGAAAAATGCTCCAGAACAAGGAAGAACAAAGCCAGAAATACAAAATAAAGAAAAGGAAGTAGGGCAACCGCCAAAAGCGCAATTAAATGTACTACAGCAACCGCAGCCACACACTCCTGCCTCAGAAAGGGGTGAAGGTGTTGGCGAGAACAGTAAGGGTGGAGAAGGTCAGTCCTCATTGGAAGTGGAAAATAGTGGAAACGAGGATCCACACAACCCCAGAGAAGAAGACTTATTAAACAGTCCAGGTACAAAATCAGAAAGCAGTGAACCGGTCCAAACGACAGTGCCAAACACAGTACCGCCGGAGCACAAAACCCAAAATGAAGTGTTAACTCCGGAACAAAAGACGAATGAAAGCCAAAGCACGGATACATCCACGAACCTACCCGAACCACAAAAGGAAAATAAAGAATATTCTGCCTCCACGGAAGGTACGGCGCAGAGTACATCAACTGGCAGTAAAGAACAAGAAACTGAGCCATCTACAAGCGAAGAACCTTCCCCTTTTGAGGAGGAACACTCCACAGGGACGAAGACATCCGAGGATGCTCGAACTCCGGATGCTGCAGCGACAGAAAAACGCCAAACCGTAAATAAGGAAAGGGTTGGCGACAGTGACAGCAGCGCCGCGGTCTCCCACACCACATCCCCTCTTTTGCTTCTTCTTTTCGTTGCGTGTGCTGCTGCTGCTGCGGTGGTGGCCGCGTGAGAGTGAGGGAGAGAGAGCCGTGCACCGCCCGCACACACACTCGTCCTTCTCTCTCTGTGTGTGTGTGTCCCCTTGCATGGACTCTCGCCCTCACCTCACCCCACGAGGCACACACATAATGTGCCCATTGTATATATGCATGCACACCCATGCAGGCCCGTTGGTGCTCTATTTTGCACGACACGCACCGCTGCCGTCCTGCCTGGCTGCATGGGCGGAGCACCGTAACTGTTTCTGTTTTGTTTTTATTGCATTGAGTGGGCGACCTCTCTCTCTCTCCCTCTGTGTGTGTTTTGCTTTACGGGAGCAATGAGAGTGTGTGTGCGCTGGTCGTCCCACGCTGCGGCTTTTTGTTTTATTGTTTTGTTTTTTATTGTGGTGTGGTTGAGTGCACCCATTCCATTACGCTTTTATTTAATTATTGGCTTTCTTTGACGGTGGATGCCTAAATTGTTTGCTTTTTGTGTATTATTATACTGTTCCTTTATTGTTGAGAGAGTGCCAGCCTCTTGTATTCTTGTAACGCCACTGAGTTTTTTTTTTGACATGCGCCATGCGTCATTTGATTCACGTTACTCTGCGGCCTGCATTGCTTTTGGTTCTGCTTGTGATGATGTTTGTGCTGTGATTTGTTGGCGGGTGTCTTGCTGTCAGTCTGACTTATCCTTCGTTTCTTGACGGTTTGTTGCGTACTGACGGTGCGTGGGCGTCTCTGGTGATAATGAGGGCCGCATGTCTCAGAGCGCAGGATGCGTCGCGGGTGTGCGGCGTCGTTTGGAAGTACCGATGGGTGGCCATCCGCATCCAGGCGTCATCAACGGACTGTGAGGGCAGCAGGAGGCACTGCGGCTTCTTTTGGCTTTGCACAAAGAGTTTATTGGACGGTGCGTTTGTTTTCAATCTTTGCAGCTCTTGTGGGGAAGGTGGGAGGCTGAGGGCATCAGGACTGAATTCATTTGAGTGGCTGCGTTCCGTTGACTTGCGGCCAGTCGTGGCACTCTTTTGGGGTTTGGCAGCCCGTCTCTTTTGTTAACTTCCCACCGCAGCAGGTGGAGGCCACCGATCCGAGGAACATTTGTTTGACTGCGTGTGAGCCGCTGCCGTGCGTGGTGCATGGACGATGTGATTGTGTGGGGAGGCGCGTTGGGGTGACGAATACTTCTGTTTGGCGTGTCGCGGTGTGTCGGAATGATGTTCGGATGACATGTGAAGGGTGTTGTTTGTGATTTGTGTGTCTTCTCTGGTGGAGCCGACATGTGTGCGGGGATTGTGGCATTGCTGGCTGACAGCTCCACGTCACTTTTCAGCATTCCTGGATGTGCTGAGGAATGACGGCTGGCGACCAGCGTGTTGTTGCTGCCGGTGGGAATAAGTGCATGAGGAATGGGCCATTTTCTCTTTTCCGTGCTGGAGCCGATGAACTGGCACGAGGGCACCGGCTGCAGGCTGGCTGCCAGCACGTGTGAGCAGCGGATCCATGCACACACCGACGCTCATCGCAAGAGCTTGTGCGATCATAGTGGCTTTTGTGGCGTGCTTTTGTGAACGTCAGCCCATCGAAGAATGTGTGAAGCAAACGGCTGACTGCACAAGAGGAAAATAAGTGCGTGCACTGTGCCGTGTTTCAGCGTCGATGGCAGAGCGGCAGGAAGCCCGTGCTGGCAACTGAGATCTTTGCGTGGCAAGGGATGTCGGTGTTGATTTTGGATCATCGAGGGTGAAGTGATTTTGCTGCTGCCCGTTTGTGTGGCCACTCCGGCAGAGGGCGGACACAACAGGGAGGGATGCAGGCGCCGCGTGTGTGTGCGCTGGTGCCATGCAACAGTGTCACAACAAACATGCTGCGACTCGGTGACCCTCACATCGCTGTGGTCCTCACGAGCAGCCGAGGCACGGCCCACATCGATGCATTTAGTGGACAGAGTGAGGCATCTTTTGAGGCGCAGCAGGGAACAGGATGTGTTGACGCAGCCACGACGTGCATGGAGTGTCACGATGGCACAGTGAGCTGTGGCTGGTGGAATAATTGCTTCTCGGATGCAACAGAGAGAGAGAGAGCTGCTGGCGTCGTTGCTGCCTTTTGTGGCCTCCCATGCCGATTATTGTCTGTCCGCTGATCATGGGTGGTGTGCCTCCACTAGTGACGTCGTCTGCAGGCATTTCAGAGCACCAGTGAAACACACATCACGTCGCATGCTTTGGCAGTGGACATGGTGTCGTGCATGCAGCCGGCATTATTTTGCCCGACTCCTTTTCACTGCCTTGCGACAAATAGATGCGTCTCCGCCCGAGTCATTCACTGCAGCTCCGTGTGCTGTACTGCCAGCACAAGACTCTCCTGTTGTCTGGCGCCTGGCTGACAGTCAAGCACCACTGCGTTGGGACATGCAAGGATGTGGACTGCCGCTCACGGTGTTGGGCACCGCTGTTTGGATGCGGCGGCCACACGAGCGGATGTATTGTGGCACAATCAAATGCGTGAAATACGCGGAGTCACAGCGACTGCGATAATATCAGCGGTGTGGCACCACGGAATATGTGAGGGGGGTGATGCATGATGAATCACGGTGGGCGGCATGCGAGGGAAGTGCACCGCGACGGAGCGTCATCCCGCCCTCGGCCTGCAGGGGAATGTACGCCCACAAAATATATGGACGAGACACCACCAAACACACATGCCCTTCTGTGCAGCAATAAATAGGAGCGAAGGTGCGTTCTGGTGCGTGGGAGTCCACTCACATATTTTCATTTCCACCGCAATAAACGGTGAGGAATCAGGTGCCACAGCAACGAAAGGAAACACAAACATCTACTGCAGCACTTCACCAGCGAAAGGCAGGAACAACACAAACCGAATTGTTGGCTGCACCAACACAAGAAACATTCACAAGAGGAAACAAATAATTGTGCACCTTGCGGAAATTCTTGAAACACACGATCCAGGCATGAAGGTTTGCTCTCTGCAAAAATGAAAAAAAGCATGCAGGCATCCGCCAACATCCGAACAGAAACACAAATAAACGATTGCTTGCATTATTCCATTCCTTGCGCTTGTTTTTTTTTTCCTGTTGCGTGTGCGGCTGCTGCGGTGGTGGCCGGGCCTGCATGAGGTGGTCTGCGATGAATGTGGACGAAGGCATGCGGCAAATGAACTGTTTTTGTGATGAACATTGGCTGCGCTTCCCGTGGACCAACAATCCGCGTGGTGTGCGGGGATCTCCTTTTTGTATTGTTACTTTGCTTTTGTGTTGCTGTGTGCGCTGCACCTTCTTGTGTGTGTGCGCACCCTCCGTGAGGGGTGCCGACACGACGGGCCGCTCTCGCCGCATGTGCATGCGGTGGAGCCTTGTGTGCCGCTCCTGTTTGCTTCTCCCTCCTCCATCTGTGTGTTGGTGTTGCGGCAGGGCTGTGTGTGTGTGTGTGCCTGCTGCCGTGGATTGGAGTGTGTGTCGTGCGTGGTGTGCGGCGTACGGTGCATGCCTGGCTGCTGCCCTCTCCTCATGTGGTGTGCCCTCTGTGTGTGTCTGCCGCACCTCTCGTCTCCCCTGTTGCTCTCCATTTCCCTCACTGTGCAGATCAGCTCCACACCACTGAACGACCACACTCATGATGATGACGACGTGCCGTCTGCTGTGCGCCCTGTTGGTGCTTGCCCTGTGCTGCTGCCCGTCCGTGTGCGTGGCACATTCTACGGATGAGACCATTGCTGCTACTCAGGTTGAAGATGTAGAAGAACCCACCAGCTTGAGTTCTTTGTCCTCTGAGTCGCAAGTGGAGGACAATTCCGATGAGGAACCGGGTTCAGATACGGGGTCCAGTGAGGACAGGGGAACAAAAGTGCCAGTGACCCCAGGTTCTTCCGGTGCCGTAGTGCAATCAAATGAGGCGGAAATGCCGGTACAGGAAGGAGAAAAGAAAGGCACGACAGAAGATGAAAATGATACAACAGCATCACAGTCGCGAAATAAAGGGTCCACTGTGGAACAAGGAGAGGCTGACGTAGGTGGTGTAAAAGGTTTGACAGCTCCGAAACGGCAGTCAGGCGATGTTATCGATACTGTACACGCAGAAGATGGGAGTACGACAGGGCCACAAAGCCGCACGAGTACATCCGCAGATAAAGCAGACCAGGAGGTCAAGGATGCTGCCCAGACGACCACAACCACGACCACTACAAAGGCACCAACCACGACCACTACAACACAGGCACCAAGCACTACGACTACAGAGGCGCCAACCACGACGTCCACCAGCGCACCGTCACGTCTTCGGAGTGTCGACGGCAGCCTCAGCAGCTCTGCGTGGGTGTGTGCCCCGCTGCTGCTCGCCGCATCCGCGCTGGCGTACACCACTGTGGGCTGAAGAGGTGTGTGCGGGCTGTGCGTGCCAGCACTCAACCGCGGGGATTTGTGCGTGTGTGTTGTGTTTCACTGTATAAAATAAGAGGAAATAATGATCTTGTTTTGCTTCACTTGCTTCTGCTGCCGTGCTGTGTGCTCCGCGTTGTGCCCCGTATCCGCCACGTTGAACGCATCGCGGACACACTCACAAGCATGCGCACTGGAGCCCTGGGTTTGTTTTTCTTTTTTAATTATTGTTTTTTAATTATTGTTTTTATTGCTTTTTAAACTTGTGGTTTGCGGTGTGGTGTGCGAGCTCTGCAATTGTACTGATTCCATCTGTCTCGTGGTGTGCGCGCTGCTGCTGGGGTGCTGCCATTTGTTGCTGTGCGTGGTGTAGCGGCTGTGTCTCCTTTGTTTTTCTCGTGCTATCGCAGGTTGGCTCCGCAGCGTTAGGCGACTCCACTGTTTGTGATGATGACTGGCCGTGTGCTCTGCGTCCTGTTGGCTCCTGCAGTGATGCGCAGCTGCTCGTGCGTGTGCGTGAGGGCTGCTGCGACGGGGTGCGTGTGCGGCCGCGGGTGATGGCGCGGTGACTGCTGGGCACGCGGAAGCTGTGATGGCTGCGGAAGGTGGACCCGTGGCCGGTGGCTCTGGTCGAAAGGGGAATGTGAACTCTGAGGGCAATAGCAATCAGGAAGACGAGGAGGGTGGAGGAAACACCGCGGGTGAGGGCCCCAATCCCACCTCGGCAGGACCACTCACTGCTCCGACGAGGCAGGACCAATCCAGCAGCAACCCACTGCGAAGTGGCACTTGCAATCCGTCCGGCACTGGCAGCGCGTCTGCTGCTCGGATGCGTGCAAGTGGACCGGAGTCTTTGGGCGGAGGGCACGCTGCAGGCACAACATCCCCACGCTCCGACGCGTCTCAGCAGGCAGCGGGTGGAGTGCATGCTGGTGGCGGGAGGACCTCCCAGGGCAGTCAGGCTTCGGAACAGACCGTCACGGGACAGTCACAGGCGCCGGGGACGGCGAAGGAAGCACCGCAGGGCGATGAAGGAGGAGAACCCGGAGCGCAACACGAGGCCGACCAAACCACAAAAATCACTGTGGTGGCCTCTTGCGCAAAAACAGCGGTGGAAAAGGAGAGCCGCCAGCGGGATCGCAAGATGCACCACGTCTCTACAGTGGCGGGAATGCCCATTATTATTATTTTTCCCTGCTCTTACCGACATGTCTAGCCGCACGATGTCATCAGGGTGCCGAGGAGGTGGTCGAGCAGCGACATGAGTTTCCTGTTATGAGGCAGCTGCCATTGGGAGAAGCTTTCGGTGCGAAGGTCCTTCTTGATGCCCAGCCGTTGGCGCACAGCCAGAGCGTCTGTACATTCTGGAAGCAGATGGTGCAGTGTTTTCTGCGGGCTAATTGTTGCGCTTGTGGAGGCTGGCTGATCCTGCGACAGCAGTGATTGCCTCCTGGCACTGCTGCTGCGGTGCCGATCAGCGTCTGGGTTTTGTGCGCGGCGATTTCTGTGCTGTGCGGTGCTTTTTTTGTGTGGGGAGGACCGTGTCGCAGCAATCGCGGTGGATGTCGGGAAGCGGTGGAGGGCGTTCCGGATGAAAGCACCGACAGTGACCGATGTGGTTCTTGTGTCCCACCAGTGTGGCGTCACAGTGCGAACATTTCCTCTTCCGACGCTGTGTGGAGGGCCGTCTCTCCACAGGCGGTGCGTCGGCCTCCCTTGTCGTCGGGGGAACAGCGTCCGTCCCGGTGCGGTGGGATCGTCGTTGGAGCGCATGAAAGCGGAGTGTTCCGGTGAGATGTTGCGGAAACGGCGTTGGTTCGTGCAGTCTCTCACAGTCCAGTACAGGCGACCCCAGAGCTCGGATTCCCCGCACCCTTCCCGTGCAGTGTGTATCTGTTCCTGTCAGTCGAGGGCTTCCTGAGTGATAAGGTCCTTGCCGCCTGGATCTGATGGCCTGGCGCCGCCAAGCAGGTAGTGGTGGGTGTCCTGATGCATGGTACTACGCCACCTGTTGGTGAGCTGGGTGTTAATGCATGACAGCAGGTCCGTGTGCCACATGGGTGCTATTCCATGCTCCGTGTATTGCCCGGTTGCCGTGGTCTGCGTCTAATGATCTGCAGGCTCGTTAACATGTACTCCGCGATGTTCGTAGCAAAACTGCAGCTGCACGGACCAGCCAGCACGCGTCAGCGACAAGAGACGCTGCCAGATCCGATCCTCCGTCCAGTCGGTATGGCTGCGCGGGCCCTTGGTGACGGCGGCTAGAAGGGACTGACTGTCTGTAACCACAAGCAGGGTTTTTGTCTCTGCTGGATACGATGGTCACTCAGCCTTTCCATGGCCGGGAGCAGTGCACGGGATTCCGTCGTGCGGCTGCATGGGCGTGCGCCGCAGTTGGTACTGACCTTCTCTGTTGTCTCCGAGGAATGCAGGGATGAGAGCAGTATGCCAATCCCGGCTGACGTGGGAATGCCGACACCGCTATTCTTCGTAAGTATCCACGGTCCCCAGCGATGATGTTGCGCCTTGTCGCGGTGCTGGGGCTTTGGTTGCGTATAGGAACTCCGCAGCAGGGCGTTGCTGCGAGCACGACGGAGACCAAGGTGACTTCACCCCCCGAGAAGGTTCCACGCCATGCCCGGTGCGGGGAGGTGAGGCGGTCTGCCTGCAGACTGTCGGACAGAACTGCACGACCGTTTCGCAGCGGTCACTCCGTTGATATCGCCCGTGGCGGTGACGTTCACAAGAACCCTGCCACCGAGGAGGATGGCTACATCAATATTTGGCGGCTTAACATTGCAGGCCTCTCGTCCGTGAAAAATATTGCATTTGCTGCGCGATTGGAGCAGCGTCCACCTGACATCGTTCTTCTGCAGGAAATAGGTAACCGTGGTGGCGTGGCGACGAAATTATGTGGCCATAATGACTGCCTTCAGGCCTCACTGGGCGCGGTGGTGGTGTTGCCGTTCTGGTGCGCCACTCTCTACCGTGCGAGCGCCCGTCGCTCCCTGGCACTGACCTCCTGGAGACCATTGCTCTCCGTGTATTTCCGCCGGGCTGTCGCAGCATTTGCGTGGCGAATCTCTACAACCCTCCCACAGCAATTGGTCAATAATCCGCATTTATCAATATCGTTTGTCGCTTGTGCCCGAAGCGATTACCGCGGGTGACCTGAATTTGCATCGTGAACTCTGGGACAGTCATATATACCATCAAGGACTGGAGGCGATAATTTCGCCGCTGTTCTAATCGATATGGATTTTGGGCTGGCAAATTACCCGACACAGGCAACACGGATCACACATCGTAATGCCTCGTCCCCTGACGTGACTGCGTATCGCGCCCTACGCATCTCCCACTGGACATTCGCCCCTTACATGGACTCGGACCACTGCTTAATATCCTACTTGGTAGAGATGGACGATGGCACTCCACGACTAGCAAACACGCTGCCTTGACGGAAGAAAGCCACCTTTGCCCTGCGTAAAGCGGATCGCCCTGCTTTTACATCGTTGTGTGAAACCCTCCTTGCCACCGCGTCCACATGGTTGGATCCTCGCGGAAGCATCTTACGAGCAGCTGAGCGCCATATCCCGCGCGGCAGCCGTGACAGCTCCAAAAAAGATATGGACACACGAAATGGAACAGGCCGAGTCCGCCGCCGAAGCAGCACACGAAGCACACACATTGCCTCACCCGGAGACAGCCTACTTTGAGCCGAATGCACCCGAAAAAGGAGGAACGAAATCAAGCCTTACGCCGTTGCTCCGCTGTGCTTTTGGAAGCCCGCGCGAAAAGACTTGGAGCCTCACCCAGCCCGAGGTGGCGATATCTTCACGGCGTGGCGGCGCCGCACCCTCATCCTCTGGAATCGGTTGTGCTCCGCACTGAACTTGGCCGCGTATGCGCCCTGCCTCGGCAACAGGCAAATCAGCTTGTCCGTCATTTTGTGCGGTTTCACGCGCCATACGGCCTTATACTGCTGCTGCTGCTCGCTGCACTTCTTTGGTTCCTGGTGGCTGGGAAATGGATCGGCCTTTCCCGCCGTATGTACTTGACGTGACCATCCGCGACTCTTTGCCTGGCTCAGCCCCTGGCCCCGGCGACATGTTGAGTGAATTTCTGCACCGTCTCGGCCCCGTTGCGCGTGGCACACTTAGAACGATGATCCACAACTCCTTCGCAAACGGCAGCCTGCCTGGCTCCTGGAAAATGGGAGACGCTATTTCTATCCCCAAGCCTGGGAAGGATCCATGCCGCCCAGAGAGCTACAGAACTATCACGCTACTCTCTGTTTTACCAAAGTTAGCCGAAGGAATGATTCACCGCCGTCTGTCAGCGTTATTGCCGCACCACCCACGTCAATTTCGGATTTGCACCTCCGCTTTCTGCGTCGGACGTGATGGCACTTGTTATCGATAAATTACCCTTGGATTGAATGAGTTTGGCATTGTGGAGTATGAGCGCCCTAGAGACGACGCCCCCACACGACGCCCTCGTCGCCATCGCTTGTGGTCTCGATTGATTTTCCGACTGCGTTCGACACCACTGACCATGGGAAGTTATTCTGCATGCTTGACAGACTTCCGTGCCTTGGCCTCGAACCAAACGCTGGCTGCACAACTACCTGCGGGGCCGCTATGTTAGGGTATGCACTCGTGAACAGCACTCCCGGAAACAACTTGCCTCAGCTGGAGCACCGCAAGGCGGCGTCCCGGGACCCCAACTCTTCCTCTGCTGTGTGGATGGTCTGCTGCGCCGCCTGGGCAGCATCTATTCTGCCTCCGCATTCATGTACGCTGACGAACACACACTTGTTGCCTCAGGTGCGGACATCCATGCCTGTGCTGCGGCAATGCGACCGCTCTTGTCTCTTGTGGCCACATGGGCTGCCGAGCACAGCCTAAAAATCAACGTCGCTAAGAGCGAAGCTGCTCTATTCTACATCTCTTCACACACACACGGTCTGACGAGGACATGGTCGATCTCCATCTTGTTAGCGGGAACCTGCGTATTCAGTCACGCCCAGTGCGCTTACTGGGCAACACGATTGATCAACTTCTTAATTTTGTTACGCATGCTTCCACCGCTGCAAAGAGGACCATGCCACGCCGCTATCAGCTGCGTCTGGTCGCAGAGGCGGGCGCGTCCCATCACACCATGCGATCCTTTTTGATTGGATGCGTTCATAGTGTGCTATTTCATAATGGCGAGGCAATTCTCCCGTGACTCGCCCCCACTCACCTCCATAATATGGAGGTACGGTACCGCGACGGCGGCATAACATTCTTGGCCTGAGCGCATCTACGGAAGACACATCCGTCTATTTGGAGGCCAATATTCTTCCGCTCCGGAAGATACTTTGGCGTCGTGCACTCACACAATACGAACGCTATATACGCCTCCATGATCACGAGGATTTGCGTTCCCTTATCTACTCGCAACCTATGCCGCCGTCCATGCACAGGAAAGCGGCGACATCAATCCGCCTCTGAGAGATGCTGTTATTAATGGATTGCTACGCGTCTGTGACATTATTGGGACACCCCACAACCACATTCGCGCCTCTTGCCCAACATCGAATTTTTCCCTGGGACACTGTGATCTGCAACAAGGTGAGATTTTATCAGCCACTGTTTGCCGAAGACGCCTCTGACGATGTCGGGCGCACGGCTTTTTATTCTGCTCACTCCTCTTTGGGGGATTGTGATTTTGAACTGTGGACGGACGGTCCTTCATATCTCGCTGCACTCGCATCTGGATCCGCTGCGCTATTATATGACTCCACCACGACAAATGATCTCCCTGTGGAGGTACATCGTGCAGCAGCTGGCAGCCTCGCATGCTCATATAGGGCAGACTGCCTTGCGATCGAAAATGTTTTTAGACATCTCATACCTCCTTGTCTGGAACATCCCAATCGCCCACACGAATGCTGGAGGAAACGGACTCCCTCTCGGCAATGGAGGCACCCCGCGTTGCCCACCGACCGTGCGAGACCGCGATACTGAGCAAATTTGGATTATGCTGCTTTCCTTGGTGAAGCGAGGTCACCCTGTGGATTTTATATTTCCCATCACACTGCGGTATTCCACGCAATGAGGCCGCTGACGACGAAGTCACGATTGCACGATCCCTCTCGCAGGACTGCGTGAATGCCTGGCACGTGGACTTCCTCACTGCAGTGAAGAGGTTATAATGGAAGGATGCCCAGGAGGAAAAGGAAGGCGCGCACACCGCGTGACAGGCGCCTGTCGGTGTGGCGAGGACTCTATTCCTGGTGCTGACCCGGACATCGGTCCCCGAGTGGCGGCACTGCGCACAGGCGCGATGCGACACCCGCCCACTCTTCGACAGGCCTGCACGCGCCCTGCGGATCACAAGGAACCCTCTGTGTCGGTGGTGCCGTCCCTCCCTCACTGCGGTGACCGGCCCGCCTCTGCCTCCGCCGGAACCTCTTCCCGACGTGAGCACCGCAACTCCTTGTCGACCAGCGAGCGGCGGATTGACGTCCTCCTGCCCAACCTGCGGCAGAGTGCGCTTGTCCGTCCACAGTATGAGGGCACACGCCGGACGTGCTCAGCCTGGCGTTACAATTAGTTTGCGAGGGCCTCCCATGCGGATGCCACAATGGCGCCACCGTCTTATTAACGGGCGCCTCGCGCGCAGGTCGCCACCGAAGTTGCCAAGCATGCCGGCAGGCAAGACACGCAGGAAGCACAACCGGGTACTCGAGATGGACCAGGCTCTTCCGCCACCGCCTCATCACGGACGCCACGGGCTGCTGATCCCCGACGGACCGCGGGAGACTCCGCCTCATCCACTGCGGGAATGCCCTCGTCGTTGGGAACTGGGACTGCGACTGTGTGTGACTGCCCCAGCCCGCACGACGGAATACTTGCCACTTTTGTACGGACGGCCTTGCGCTACTCACTCGTTATTGTAGCAGCATACAACCAAACAAGATAACAAGCTGCTTTGTGGTGAATATTGGCTGCACTTCCCGTGGACCAACAATCCGCGTGGTGTGCGGGGATCTTCTTTTTTTATTGTTACTTTGCTTTAGTGTTGCTGTGTGCGCTGCACCTTCTTGTGTGTGTGCGCACCCTCCGTGAGAGGTGCCGACACGACGGACCGCTCTCGCCGCATGTGCATGCGGTGGAGCCTTGTGTGCCGCTCCTGTTTGCTTCTCCCTCTTCTATCTGTGTGTTGGTGTTGCGGCAGGGCTGCGTGTGTGTGTGTGCCTGCTGCCGTGGATTGGAGTGTGTGTCGTGCGTGGTGTGCGGCGTACGGTGCATGCCTGGCTGCTGCCCTCTCCTCATGTGGTGTGCCCTCGGTGTGTCTGCCGCACCTCTCGTCTCCCCTGTTGCTCTCCATTTCCCTCACTGTGCAGATCAGCTCCACACCACTGAACGACCACACTCACGATGATGATGACGTGCCGTCTGCTGTGCGCCCTGTTGGTGCTCGCCCTGTGCTGCTGCCCGTCCGTGTGCGTGGCACATTCTACGGATGAAACGGTTGCTGCTACTCAGGTTGAAGATGTAAAAGAATCCACCAGCTCGAGTACTTTGTCCTCTGAGTCGAAAGTGGAGGACAATTCCGATGAGGAACGGGATTCAGGTACGGGGTCCGATGAGGACAGGGGAACAAAAGTGCCAGTGACCCCAGGTTCTTCCGGTGCCGTAATGCAATCAAATGAGGCGGAAATGCCGGTACAGACAGGAGAAAAGAAAGGTACGACAGAAGATAAAAATGATACAACAGCATCAAATTCGCGAAGTAAGGGGTCCACTGCGGAACAGGGAGAGGCTGACGTAGATGGTGGAAAAGGTTTGACAGCTCCGAAACGGCAGTCAGGCGATGTTATCGATACTGTACACGAAGAAGATGGGAGTACGACAGGGCCACAAAGCCGCACGAGTAAATCCGCAGACCAAACAAATCAAGAAGCCAAAGTTGCTGCCGCGGCGACCACCACCACTACAACAGAGGCACCAAGTACTACGACTACAGAGGCGCCAGCTGTGTCGACCACCAGCGCACCGTCACGTCTTCGCGAAATCGACGGCAGCCTCAGCAGCTCTGCGTGGGTGTGTGCCCCGCTGGTGCTTGCCGTATCCGTTCTGGCGTACACCGCTCTGGGCTGAAGAAGTGTGTGCGGGCTGTGCGTGCCAGCACTCAACCGCGGGGATTTGTGCGCGTGTGTTGTGGTTCACTGTATAAAATAAGAGGAAATAATGATCTTGTTTTGCTTCACTTGCTTCTGCTGCCGTGCTGTGTGCTCCGCGTTGTGCCCCGCATCCGTCACGTTGAACGCATCGCGGACACACTAATAAGCATGCGCACTGGAGCCCTGGGTTTGTTTTTCTTTTTAATTATTGTTTTTTATTGCTTTTTAAACTTGTGGTTTGCGGTGCGGTGTGCGAGCTCTGCAATCGCACTGATTCCATCTGTCTCGTGGTGTGCGCTGCTGCTGCTGCTGGGGTGCTGCCATTTGTTGCTGTGCGGTGGCTGTGCGTGGTGTAGCGGCCGTGTCTATCTTTTTGCTTTTCTCTCTGTTGACGTGGTGTTACTTTTGCTGAAGGCTACACGCAAGTGACAGGAGTGCTGGCGATGATGACTGGCCGTGTGCTTCTGGTGTGTGTCCTCTGCGTGCTGTGGTGCGGGTATTCTTTGGTGTCGGCCGATGCCGGGGATGATCGTGAGCATTCCGGCCAAGGTGTTGCTGGGAGTGTTGGTCAACCTCCTTCCCCAGTTGGGGGTCATGGTGATAATGGAGTTGTCACTGATGGAAGCTCTGTGAGCAGTGGAAGTCACTTGCCGGGTTCTGCTCCTACGGGTGGCAAACCTTCACTTCCCGGTGTTGGTGAGTGTGTGGGTTTAAATGAATCTAAGGATGCCTTAACTCTTGCAAAAGAGGGACATGAAGTCGTACGGGATCAGCATGAATTAGTGCCTCAAGTTTCGCACCACACTGATGCGGGAACAGGAGGGAAAAGCGATCTCAGTGCGCCAGAACAGTCGCCCAACGCAAAAACAGAATTAGAAAATGGTGGTGGTGTTTGTGGTGATGATGCTGCAACTGCGGAGGGTGAAGTAATAACCACCGTGAATGAAGAACAATTGGGCGGATCTTCCACGAGCGACAGCCATCCACCAGCAGCAGACCGAGGGGCGAAGGAGCAGGAAGGCACAGTGGAACAAGCAGCATCAACAGCGGCACTGACGCCAGTGGTGGGGCGAGAAACACCGCCTAAAGGGGACACCGAAGAGGACTCACCGGAGGATAAAGCCGCAACTGGCGCAGGTGTCACACAAGATATACCAGCTGTCAGTCAACAACAAACACATTCTTCATCCACTTCTACAACTGGAAATGGTCCGACTTCTGCTCTAGGAAAAGGGCGCGCTGCGGAGGACATTTCCAACAATAACGAACGATCCGGCAAAGCACTACTGCAAGAAGGAGCGGAACATGAAACTGTTGCTGGAAGCCAATCGCAAGCAATACCAGCAGCCACCGCCCGTAACACACTTGGCACAACCGTTTCTGGCGGCAGCGACAACAGCACCACGATAACTACAGCCGTGCGGTCTGACACTGGCACAGAAGGCACTCCAACCAGCAATCATCCGAACCGACAATCCATTGAAGGCGCTACGTCACCCGGCACGAATTCCGATGGTGAAGCTGCATCAGCCAAAAAATATGATACGGTACCTCAGAGTGCAGGATCCACAGAAGCGCCAACCACAGACAACAAAACACGTGACACAGCTTCTCATGGCGACAGTGACAGCAGCACCGCAGTCTCCCACACCACCTCCCCTCTTTTGCTTCTTCTTCTTCTTGTTTGTGCGGCTGCTGCTGCGGTGGTGGCCGCGTGAGAGTGAGGGAGAGAGAGCCGTGCACCGCCCGCACACACACTCTTCCTTCTCTCTCTGTGTGTGTGTCCCCTTGCATGGACTCTCGCCCTCACCTCACCCCACGAGGCACACACATAATGTGCCCATTGTATATATGCACGCACACCCATGCAGGCCCGTTGGTGCTCTCTTTTGCACGACACGCACCGCTGCCGTCCTGCCTGGCTGCATGGGCGGAGCACCGTAACTGTTTCTGTTTTGTTTTTATTGCATTGAGTGGGCGACCTCTCTCTTTCTCCCTCTGTGTGTGTTTTGCTTTACGGGAGTAATGAGAGTGTGTGCGCTGGTCGTCCCACGCTTCGGCTTTTTGTTTTGTTTTCCTTTTTGATTTTGTGGTTGAGTGCACCCATTCCGCGGCTGCGTGTGTGTGTGTGTGATGATATGAGTAATTTGCGTGTGTGCTATCTGCCTCTTTCTGCCGTTGCTTTCTTCAGACTCTCTTGTGGCGTACAGCTGCTCCGCAAGTATAGGCGCTGACAAGCACAAACACGCACATACACACATGTCATGCTGAACGTGCTGTGGACCGGTGTCAACGCTGAGGACGTACGCACGCACACGATTCTGGCTGCTGCGGCCTTGAGATGGGGTTGAAGGGAGCTTGCAACGCTTGTCTTTGTTGTGCGTTGTTGAGGATGCCTGAAGTAGGTGCGGAAACGCTCCGCCCAGCAGCTACAGGTGCCGAAGCGTCTTTCTTGTTGTGTTTTTGATGGCGGGGGATTCCTCGGCTGTGCGAGGTGATGTGCGCCGGCGGCGGAGCGGGTGCTTTGCGCTGGAGAGACAACAGTGGAACTATTGGCGGTAGCGCGTGGGTGCTGCGGAGGGCGGCTGTGGTCTTTTGCCACCCGTTAGTTATTTTATGTGTGGGCGTCGCCTGGTGTGTGCTGATGCGTGGCCGAAGCGCCCGCCGTGGCTCCTGCTGGTGGTGACTGTCGCTGTGTTTTCCCGGTGCAGTGATCTTCCTTCTGCTGTTCCGTGTGTCTGTGTGCGTGAGTTGTTGTTGTTGGGAGTGACTGTGGCGGGGATGATGGTGGTGCCACTCACTGTGGATGGGTGGCGGTGCTCGCTGTCTCACCTCTTTGCTTGACATGTTTTCTCTCTCAGCCCCACGCACAAACACGCTAGGAAGGGAAAGCAAACAAGCGCCAAACGCTACTGTGAGATTCGAAGGCTCTGAAAGGACCAACAACACACACAGACCGCCCACACACACATATTTATATGCTCTCACGTGTTGCTGCGGTGAAGGCACCCCGCACACACAACCGTCGCCGCGTGACCGGATCCAGCGGAAGGAGGAGGGAAGGAAGAGAGAGTGAGGCGCAGAGGCCCAAAATGTCCCGGCGTGTGTTTACTACCGCGGTGCTCCTCCTCGTCGTGATGATGTGCTGCAGTACTTGTGGAGGTGTGCAAGCTGATGTGGAGGAACCGTCGTCTGATCCGAAGTTTGAATGGAAGGACGCTAATGACGATGGTGTAACTGTGGAGTCGTTTGGTGTTCCCGGCCTTCTAAATGTGGGGAGTGACGTATTTGCCGTTGCTGAGGCGCAGTGCGAGAAGAATGATGGAGAAGATACCTTTACTGGGATTGCATCCCAACTTCTCACGGAAACAGGTAACGAACCGAAGGAAGTGCTTAAGGATGCCAAGGAGAAAACACTAGTTCTGGAGGAAGGCATATCCTCAGAGGAGAAGACGAGAGTAGATGTGAGTCGACCGACAACAGTTGTGGATGGAGATGATATTTACATGCTTGTTGGGAAATACAGTTGTAAAGGTGGTCAGGAGAGTGGTGCCGATGACTGGGGACTTTTGCTGGTGAAAGGGAACGTCAGTGCTGAAGCACCTAATAAAAAAATTGGCTGGAAAGATACTGAAAGTCTCCCGCGAGGAATTTTTGTCACACAACTTGAGTCCTTGACAGGACTGATTGGAGGCGGCGGATCGGGTGTTAAGACGAAGGACGGTACGTTTGTGTTCCCGCTGGAAGGCACGAAGAAGAAGGATGAAACAGAAGAGGATGGAAAGACCGTTTCGCTGCTCCTGTACACTTTGGATACTTCGAGGAACATTGAGAATTGGGCGCTGTCGAAGGGGATGTCTGCCGATGGCTGCAGTGTTCCCTCCGTCGTGGAGCGGGAGAAGGACAAACTCATGATGATGACTGCGTGTGGTGATGGCCGCCGCAGGGTGTACGAGTCCGGCGACAAGGGGAAGACGTGGACGGAGGCCCTCGGGACACTCTCGCGCGTGTGGGGCAGCAAACAGGACGGAGAAGGGAAGGCCGTTAGGAGCGGGTTCATCACAGCGACAATTGGTGTTGGAGATGATGAGAAGAATGTGATGCTCGTTACTCTGCCGGTGTATTCCAAAGAAAAGGAAAATGAGAAAGAAAAGGGCGTACTCCATCTTTGGCTGACGGACAATACGCACATTGTTGATATTGGGCCGATATCCGGGAAGGACGATGACGCTGCCGCCAGCGCCCTGTTGTACAAAAGTAGTGAAAGTACAACTGATGGTAATAATGAGGAGTTGATTGCACTGTACGAGAAGAAGAAGGGCGATGGAGAATCATCAAACAGTCTTTGGTCTGTGCGTCTGACTGCGCAGCTGCAGCGGGTGAAGGATGTGCTGGAGACGTGGAAGGAAGTGGACGAACGTGTCTCCAAGCTGTGCCCTTCTGAGGGTGCTGTGCAGGCTCCCTCAACTGACAGTGCCTGCAGCACTAAGATCACGGCTGGGCTGGTTGGCTTTTTGTCCGGCAGCTTCTCTGACAACACATGGAGGGACGAGTACCTCGGCGTGAACGCCACAGTAAAGAAGAATGATGTGGCGGAGCAGGTAAAAGGTGGCGTGAAGTTCACAGGGCGTGGAGCGTGGGCGGAGTGGCCCGTTGGCGCGCAGGGGGAGAA